GGGGTCCCACGTCGGATAATTTTTTGAGAGTACCGAATAGTTCTGAGTAGCGTTTCGTATAGTTCTCGACGAGTTCTATCGAAAACTGTGAGGTGAAAAAGCGATTAGACCAACGGTTTGCAAGATACAGCTACATTTGTCAGAAGATCAACAATTTTTAAAGTGAGTATATCTCGGAAACCGCTGGTCCAATCGCTTTGAGCCCTAATACTTTTCAAATTGGCATTTCGTAGTCATTATCTTTATGCCTTGTTTTCGAATAACGGCTTTCGTTTTATTTAATTTTCCTTTTGTACCGATCGTCCTTATATGCAGCTTCCTTCGCGTGTTGGTGAAAAGATGCAAAACGTGTTTCGCATCACACATGCGGCGCTCAAGGAGGCATTAATCACTCGCCGCTACAATGTAATTACCGTGCGTGCTTTCTCTCCGTGGTCGTAAACACAATGGCGCGTAGTGCGTAGAAAACACGCAAGGCCGAAGCTTTCCAGACAATGAGAATTATTCAAATGAATTGGCGCAAGTGACCAAACAGTGTCCGATCTTTCTATCGATCCATTCACTAACTTGTCTGTATTGCATTCGCTTCCACCTTTACTTCCTTTCTCTTTCGTGTGTGCATCTATTAAGAAGGAAGAACTAATATTGAATGATATACGGATCATCGATTATCTTTATTTTTATAGATTTTTTTCTAATAATTATGGTTAATAATTTTCTTATATAATGAGGCATAATACGTAGAGTGTATATTTAAACTTGTAAACGTATCGGAATAATCGAGCTCTACTACCATTAATATGTCACTCGAGCATTTATTCTTATATCACTTCCTTGCTTCGAAAGTGACATAATATAAAAAATGAACAGCTATAATTTTGTTGAATTCATTAATGCGGGCACTGGTGCATGTTAAAGTTATTGTATATACTGATTTAATCCGAGTATAAAAGTGATATGCAAACATTTCGAATTTAAAAAAATACATTTGAAGTACTTAACAGCGCCAAGTGTATTGAAGATTTCGCGGTTTAACTCATTTCTATATTTATATTAAACACACATTTTTACGTCAATTTGTGTATGACGGTTTTTTATGTACACCAGTGCGTACTGAATGCGTTCAATCGAATTTACTAAATTTTCCAGAAAAGTGACAAAACCTTCTCAACTTGACAGAAAATTATTGACTAATTAAATAATATCCCGGCAAAAATATGTTCTTGACATAAATATCATTTTTGTCATTTTTGTTTTACAATCTTTAAAAACCTTTTTGAATTTTTAGAAAAACTTTTAGAAATAAGGAAGCAATGTTTGGCTTCTACGAAAAATGGAAATAGGAATCTGCGAATGCAATGTTTCGTCTCATTACAGACGAATCGTGTATTACACGCATGGAATCAAGCAAGATCAATTGCTCGCATTCGTAATTTCGTCGCAATTTGCGATAAAGTGAATGAAGAAATAAATGGAAGCCAGCGACTTCACGTCGCGTATTAACGATAATTTATTCGACACTAAAGTACAGGATCTTTAGCCTCACGCGGAGAAAACCGGTGAAGCGTTTCGATTGCGACCGACTTATATATATTTCAAGTACTTTTATTCATTCGCTGACAGTATCGCAGCGTCATGATTATGATGATAAATACTTTCTCATTACGATCGTCCTTCAATATTGAAAATGAGAACTAATCTACCTGATTTAATATAAAATATTGAAAATTTGCGAAACAAACTCTTATATACAATTTTGCTGAAAAAAGATTGATCGCAAATTAATCGATTGAATTTTTCACTTCTAATTAAAGATACGTTGTTAGAAGTATCCTATATACTGTATTTTACGTAGAGAAGAACTCGTGAACATATTTCAAAAGGACGATGTAAAAGATTTTCAAGAAACGGAGAAGATTCGAGGATACTCAAATAAAAAATATTAGACACACACTGTAAAATATGTAAAATTACAATTATTATAAAAATTTTTTTTGTAAATTGTGACTTTGTACGTGTTTGTAAATAATGTAAGTTATATATATTTTTAATAGCAAGACCCAAAATTATCCACTATAACTGTAATTTCTCAAGTAATTTTTTTACGGTCTGTATTTAGTCCGTTATATTTTTTAGGAGTTGATAGAATAAGATATTCATGCATCTATCTCTTTTATCTTAAATATCTTTCTGAATGTAGACCAATCATAAGTTGTCTAAATGGTATCCAATCTCTTAATCGAGTATCTCAACCGAGAACAAGCGTTGCGCGAACGGACATATGACATGTTCAATCTTTCAGTCAAGTAGTTCTGAGCGAAAGCAAAAATTGTCGGCGTCAAACGGCGCTCTCTTTTACGTTCTCCATCCTTTTGTCGCAAAGCAGCAACGACTCGTGGTCGTTCTGTTTACGACGGACTCGTATTCCTCCATCTCTTTCGTACTCGTCACCATTTGGCCGCCACCCAACTATGAGCTAAACCAAGACATTGCCAAGGAATCCTGGCCAGATTCTCCTCGGATATTATTCTCGACTTTTTAACCCTCGAAATTTTCATCTCGTGCGACGATGCCGTTTGCGAGAGAGAGGCTCTCTCTCTCTCTCTTCCCCTCTCTTCCCTCGTGTTTCTCATTTCGTGTCTCCATTTTCATCACTTTTCCCATCTCATCTTCGGCCAACTTCTTTTTCGAGTCGAGACGAAATTCGAGATGAACGGTAAAATGCACGAGCGCTGGAATGTAAAAGAGTGCATTACGCCTTTCAACGCCGCGAAGACCGACTCTGGAGGAGCAAGTTGATGTAATCCAGTAGTTCTCTCTCTTTCGGCGCGTCTCACATCTCTTGGATTCTCGGAAGATGCTTTCGTGCCGTTACGAGATATACATCGTCGAATACTTTTATCTACAAGCGAGAACATACATACATTTGTACATGCGAGATCACTTTAGCGTTATCGCTATTCCAAAAATTTATATCTGCGTTTCTCGCGGATCTGTGGAGGTGACTCTCTAATTAGAAGCTGCTGACAATAACAAGGCACATAATTAACTTTTTTGATATCTGTATAACACATCACTTTTTCCATATGCAATAATTAGTGCAGAATCCTTTTAGTGTGATAGTTTCTTTGACGGAACTGCTAATATCTCTTCGGTAAACATTTTATACGTTTATTCCATTAAATAATTCCATAGTAGATCCGATTTCTCAATTTATTGTAACATAATACAGGAATTGAGAGAGAAATTGAGTCCTGTCAATAATATTTCCACGAAGTCGTTTTTTATCGAGTAATCTCATGCGACATTCTGCGATAATCGAAACTGCTATATGCGAAGCTGCGGTGATTGCACTCATTAAGCAATCGCGCGCGGCAGCTTTCAAGGCTAATAAAGGAATTGTGGCCCGTATGCCCATTTTCGTTGAATGATGCCGCGAGCGAGCAATACGGCCGGTGCCTTTACGAGCTCATCTTACGCCAGCCAGATGCCACAATTTCATTAATAAGTTTCTCTTTCACGAGAATATCACTTCGGTGTTCTCTCGCGCGTGTTAGTTGCACCATGTGAAAACGGAACGACGAAAATCTTCGTTTCGTTGGCTTAGCGATGAGAAACGCATCTGTCGCCCGCCATCATTTCTAAGTACTTGAACGATTTGTCAGTACCTAATGTATAGAATGTACAATAAAATAGAAATATTTGATCGAGCCAAAAAAAACGATTTTTTGTATGTATATTTTTTATCTTTTTGCATTAATAATGAACAAATTTAATAACAAGATGATTTCATTTCTGACTTATTATAATCAATAAATCAATAAGAATAATCTTGTTTGATTAATGTTTAATAACTTTTATTTAAAACTTAATTTTTGAAATAATTAAAATTACAAAAAAATATAACGATATAAAAATAATATTAAATAATTATATAATAATAATTTCTCACATATACAATATGTTTAAAGAAGATTTGCGTGTTATCGTAGTCGTCATCAAAGTATTAAATGATTTTGATATATCTTACACTTGTATCAGTTTTACAAGAAACGTATAAACATTTTGCACTATCATGATGAAACTAGCTCAATACATTAAGGTCATTCTTATAGAAGATAAAGATGCGACTATATACGAATTATGTAGGCTGATCAGGCCTCTGTCTTAATCGTGATTTAATAAATCAAAAGTTGAATTAGAAATTTTACAATCTGTAATTAACTTTATACAAGATATACAAATACAGTATAATATGACAACTGCTCTCGTAAATAAAATACATACAAAATATGTATCAAATCTTACGCATAACTTAATTTTTTATTTTGTATTTGTATCGAAAATATTTTAATAGATCTAAATTTTAGATATATATTTTTTCTTGTTTCTTATTTTTATATATTAATTGATACAATTTTTATGGAATGTCCCGGGATAACACACCGAACAAAGAATAGCGTTTTTACACTTATGACATCGGTAAAATTTGTAACGCAAAGAATCTGTACGGTTACGTATGCGCAGCTGTTGTATGATCTAATGTCAATAATAGCGCCACGCAATGACACAGTAATATGTCACTAACCTCCATGTTCGTTTCGTTTTTCCAGGTTACTCACAAAGTGACGAGTCAGGTGATGGTGCTCAAGATGAATCAGCTGGCGGCGAACAGGCCGAATATGCTCAAGGAAGTTCAGCTCATGAACAAACTTAGCCATCCAAACATACTCAGGTGAGTTGAGGCGTCAGAATTGAATTCAATTCATTTTTACCGATGAAACTATGTTTTGCGATTGAACAAAATTGCTCGGCCAAATTCGATGAAGACGATACAATAAATTCCTACCCGCTCTTCTTGCTTGCTTAATCCTTGTGTAGCGAGCAGATGCGTCGACCCTCTTTCGTACGAGTTATTTCAATGCGAGCAAAATTCAAGAACGATGGATAATAGGAAGAAAACGTGCGCGATGTTATGCATTTTTGATTGTGTTATTTTCTGATTCTTCGGTAAAGATTAAATGACGATAACACTAATCACACACATTAAGTCATTACATTTTATTATACTCTCTATCTATTCTATAATTATTCTTCGTATGGATCAGAACAAAAGTTTATAGCGCTACTTCATTTTTTTTTTAAACTACGGTATGATAATTTTTAGTGGAGTTATGGACAATTAAGTCAAAATACTCTTTTTATTTAATCCGTAATAAATATTTTCATAACAAAAATCTTAATGACATTTTTTAATATGTTTTTATAGTAAAATCTTGAAGTTTTCATGTTAAGAGAAGTCAAAAATTTTCCATTTTGATTAGCTCGTTTTATATAACTTTTTAAATTTAAATTTCGTTCTTTTTTAACAAAGCTTTTTTTTTACAGCTACTTTTAAAGTTCGTAATATTTACTGTTGAATTTATTTCTATATCAAATAAAAAAAAATGTTTTCCTAAGAATTGTACTGTTATATTTTTCATAGCCGATTTACAGCAAAACTCTCGTGCTTGAGCCGCACATTTGTTTCGTCTTGTCAAGAATCAATTTAACCTTCTTTCCGGCATTGTGCCAAAATGCTGGCTCAAGATTCTCGTATCAAGTGACTACGATATTACCGAAACACGTGGCGACCGTGTACTTACAGTATTCTGTGTCTTAGTCTATACCAATCTACATTATAGAACGTTATCGTTTGATTTATCATCCGGCGATTATATCGTTGAAATTCCTCTCGCTTGAGAGCTCACTAAAATGGGTAAAAAAATGAGAAAAAACGGTATTACGCTTTAACTATGCTCGTTACGAATTACGACATAATTCGTCGCCTAGCGGTAACGGCGGTTACCTCGGCACGTTGTATCCATTGCGAAAATTCTGCTAGGTGCATGGCAGAAAACAGAATCCAAAGTGCACACTACACTACAACATTTTTTACTGTTGTAACTTGTGAAATTAGATGTGTAGTCAAATATTGATTTGTGGCTGCCAACAATAGTGTATACATTATTTTATATTCTAAGACACAGTAAAGATATTTTATTTCTTACACACAGTAGAAAAAAAAATTATTGCCTTTAGTAAAATTTTGATTGAGCATTTTTTAATAACTAAATATTTTATTTATATATCAAAAAAATTTAATTGTTTTTGTAAAATAATTTTTTTGTTTTGTAAATAATAAAAATATTTGTTTATACCAAATAACAATTTGCTTAAAATCAAAGTTATGTTTGGTATGTTTCAATCAAATTTTTGTTGTTACAGCAACATTTTTTTCTAGAACAATTAATTGTGATAATATATTGTATAATAAATTTTACTCATACGCGCGTTACAAGAAATTAATACAACAATTTATTGTTGTTGCTTCATGAGTTTAATTTACTTAAAAAAGACTGTTCATATATAAAATATTAATTATTTAGTATTTTGAAAATTATTCCTATTTTGACATTTTCATCAATTGATGTTCAGTCTTACATCCAAATAAATCTGCTTTCCGCCAGATCTGGAATTTGATACTACATCTCTACGAATGATGCAAAGTCTATCAGGACAAGTATTTATAGAAGTACCTTGGGAAAAAACAAAATATAGAGGTTTTTCAGTTTTTTTTTTTATTGTTAGGAACCAATACTTCTCAGTTATGACATAACGCGCCGAGCATTGCTAGCGCGACGACACGTTTCGACGGGACGCACCGCGACAACGCATTCCGACGATATAAACGGCTTGGCCCAGATTCGGATGCGGTGTTTACTCGTCGCAGACCTAGCGGATCTTATTTCTGGCATTTTCCTCGGCGAGGCCTCCGCGAAAACTCCGCGGGTCCTCTCAGGATCCTTCGTTTCGCACACCCGGCTGACTCAGTCATAAAAATAGTTATTATCTTGACTCGCGGCATTTGCCACGTTTATCGTGACACCCGCGCCCGTTGCGTCGTATTCAGAGTTGCTAGCTATAGCATGATAGTGTCTATACAAACGACTTGCATTAATTTCAGGAAATGTTGACATTGCTCAAGGTATCCTAAAAAAAAACATTACTATTTTTAAACAACGCCTGAAACACAATAATACGACATTGACATTCGATCTGTATTTGATTTACTTCAATTATACAATACGTATATTCAGTTATATTGTGAACTATCAAAAATAATTACAAAATATTCTGTTATACAAATGCTTAAATTATGCGGTTAATTTGAAGTTATTTTTTCTGTGATTTGTTTACAAATGATATTATCTTCTTTATGTAGGTTAATGAATTATTTTGATGTGTCATTTATTAATAATTATTGCCACATTGAATCTGTCAATGGTTAATATTTATTTCCAAGAAAACAATAGTGTTCCTGGTAGACTGCTGTTATTGCTATAAATGTCGTAATATATCTTAATAATATTATCTTATTACATAATATTGACATGATATTTTTTAGGGTATCTCTGCATGTGTAGTGTAATGTAAGATTGTAATATAAGAGCATTACTTTCGTAGAATCTACCGTAAATCTGCTTAACGTCGGTGCCACATATATCATGCTACAGTATCGGCTATTCAACGATAGTATCGTTAACAGCATCCGAGTCGTAATTCTTGGAACGACTTTCCGGATTAGACAATCGGCGCGCCATCACTTCACGATGGGAACAACTGAATGAAAACAACCGGACGGTACCCGAAAATATCTTGCGTCTTTGAGAACTTAATTCTTGCCCCCGATCGATTTGCCGATGCTCGTTACACACGCGAACGCCCTTTTACATAATATTTGGCTTGCGGAAAATGAATTTGTCTAGTTGCGTGAAAGAGAAAACGCTACTCTGACGCTCAGTTAGTGAATAATGACGCAGCGTAGCCAGACACTCGTATCGACCACTGTACACTTGGCATCGGACTTTCAATTTACATGCATTATGCGTACTTATATTGTAATCAAGGGATTCATTACCGTTCTTGAAACGAGCTGAAAATTACAAAAGTGATTGAATTTACTAGAATACTTGTAACTTTATTGCGGAGTAAACACTTAGTGAATTTAAACACTTTCGTAATTTTTACTTCGTCTCAAGAACCGTAGTTGACCTTCCTGAAGCAAAATCAGCAGAGAACGAATATTGATATAAAGTTTCAGATCTGATGGAAAGCAGCAGGGATGTGCTTCACGATTGCAATCTTCCTTAAAATTCTAAACAGGTGTATAATACACACATATATAAAAATCGGGACGCGATATTGTATCGCGATTTTTATGTGTATATTATATACTACTTACGTACATTTATTCAACTGCCCATATTTTGCCACATTAAAAATATTTAGCAAGTTCAGAACAATGACAGTTAAAGAATAAAAAAAATATTAGATGTTAGAAGGCAGCAAAATATTTTATTCTTTTTTTAGTGTAATAGCATTCGAAAATCCTTAATATAATTTGATTATACAGCTAAAGAATAAAAATCGAAATAATAAGATAAATGAAGGGAGGTATCATATATATATATTAATTTAAGCTAAATCTCACAGTTCTTTTTCCTAAAAAAAAAAAAGAGATTGATTACAATTATATATTTCTCCAACAAATCGCTGTTGTTTTATTCGCATTGCGTTTGTGTTCATGTTTATAACCTTCATTTATCTTATCATTCCGACTTTCATTCTTATAGCAGTAGTATAATCTTGGAAAATCTTTTCCTCTCGTTACGCATTATGCTAAATTATATTAGAAGCTATCAAAAATAATTACAAAATGTTCTGTTGTAAGTACAAGTGCTTAAATTATTCGATTAATTTGACGTCACTTTTTTACGTTTAATGAAATACTAACAGAGTGTAAAACGTGTGTTTAGTTTGAAAAATGTTTCAACGTGACATGCAATTAATATTTCTACTATGTATTAATCGTATAAACGATAAATCTCAGGAAACGCGAAGAGAGCGACAATTTCTCTTCTTATCTGATCAACTCAAAAAATGAATCTGGAGCATCGTGTGTGCATACCGTCCGTGTTTTACCAGAGAAAAATTCTTCGCCGGAAATTTCTCTTTCGCTCGCGTGGTTTGTTTATCCTCTTCCCTTTTTTTCCTCTGTCGCTTTGTGGGAGAAACCACGGCGACGTGCTCGGCGAGAGACGCTTCGAAATCGGGACGACACGACGCATAACGCGCGATTTTCTTCTCTTCAGCTCTATCATTTATGCATAAGATCTTACCCTAGCGATAACGCAAAATGCATTCACCGATTAACTTGCGGGAGAAATGCAAGCAGTTGAGTACTTTTTAGGATATAATCAAGTTGTTTTATCACAATCTGCATCTTTTTGAAATAAATTCTTATTTGCGATTTTGATATTTATTACGATAATAAGAGAAAATCATAAAACTTACAACATTGTCCTTTATATTATACTTTAAAAGTTAATTATGATTTATAATGCAAATCATTAAATTTGATTGTTATTTTATCATGTACATTCAGTTTATATGTATATGTATTGTAACATAAATTAATATTGTTATTAATTGATGGACAAATAAAATGTAAATTAGGAAGTATAAATGTTGAATAATGTTCAACACTTATACTTCCTAATTTATATTTTATTTATATAACAATAATAATGATAAAATTAATGGAAATGTTTACTCGTTACATTAAAGACTGAAAGACTAATGATGTGATACTTGATAATATTGTCATCGAATAATATACATTATTGAATATTTAATAATATTGTCTCGAAGGCATCCTTTGATAAACGAGGCCATAATGTTTCCTTGAAGCATGGCGATGTGTAATTCTCTCCGAGACTTAATCTCGCATACATAGTGGTTATAAAGATAACGTCGGTGATATCGCGATGATTAAATTACAATATACAGACACATATTAAAGTTGTCTAGACCCTTTAATCATCTTGAAAGCACATCTGCATTTGGTTTTATTATTCAAGAAGTGACGATGATTTGCAATATTTGACAATATTAACTATAATTTTTTTTGCATTTTAGCATGATTTATATTAGCATAATTTTTTATTTTTTATTATTTCTTATACATATTTATTTATTGTGTAATATTATATTTTCAATAATCTTTGGTTTTTTTTATCAAATCATAAATAATGTATACATGTATTTTTTTTTATTTAATATATTCATCTTCGCACATTTTGTTTATTATTATCTCCTGTAAGGAGAAAGTAGATATCATATACTTAAAGTGTGACACGTAATGTTATCACGATCGTTCGTCAACTTTGCTCTATTCTTCCTTTGTTCGCTTTCGTATTATCTAATCTTGTCTGAAAATCGCTGAATTGATAAAAGCGACGAGTTCTGAATTCACTTGCGCTTGCAACGGCATACGACAAATATCTATTACCTTGCGACCATTTTGAGAATATTGCTGCAACATTACAATTAAATTACATTTAAACTTTTAACGATCCGAACATAACGAAAATCACAACATTTTTTTTATCAATAACAAAATTGAAGACAAAACCGTTTATATAAGAACATTAAATAAACTAAATACGAGAAGCGCTACTCTCTCGCTCTTTTGGTCAAAGAGTTATACATATTAAACTAATACATGTATATGTATTTTTTAAATAAATACATATTTTTTATCCCTTTATTTATATCATTCTATTATATGTTTTGAAATAAATAGTATCTATTAAATTTTGCAAAAAGCAAAGAACTTTTCATCCGAAAACTTTCTATACTCCCGTCTTTCCTCTTCTGTGATCTAGTATATTTAAATCCTTAAACTTGTCAAAAGCGAAATTATAATTAGAATTTTTTACTGAAATTTTTACTTACAAAAGCAATACTTTAGCACACTCTTATGTAAAAGCGAGTTATTAATTTGTGAGCACTGCAACTATTTACGATAAGTACTTAATAGTATAAGTAAAAACGAAGGTCACAGATGTGTTCTACATGTTGAAAAATGTTTGAAAAGTCTAAGCTGTGATACATTTATTATAATTTAATCGTTGCGATAGGCTTGCGTATCGGCTTTATCTTAATTACCTCATATGTCAGATTACGCGGAAATAAAAAACTTTTAAGCTTATATATCAATTTCCTTTTGAATATATTTTTTTGGATAACATTGGATGTGAAGTAATAACTCATTTTTAAATAACGATATATTGGAGTATTTTTTTAGTTCTAAGCAAAATTCTCAATAAGAAATTCTGGCTATGTATAATTCCCATTATCGTTAGAATGAATTGAAAATTTTCTCAAATGTACTTCTGAAAATCAATCTCGTCTTCTTCTTTTTAGGTTTATGGGAGTGTGCGTGCACGAGGGTCAACTGCATGCGTTAACAGAATACATTAACGGCGGCAGCCTGGAGCAACTGATCATGTCGCGGCACACGCCGTTACCGCACCTCGTCCGGATGAATCTGGCAAGAGACGTTGCTCGCGGTATGGCTTATCTACATAGTCGCGGCCTCTTCCACCGCGATCTCACGTCGAAGAACGTGCTGATCAAGAAGGACGAGTGCAATAACGAGATGACCGCAGTGGTAGGCGATTTTGGACTGGCTGCAAAGATACCCGATCCTAGCACAGGCTACCGACTCAGCACAGTCGGCAGTCCTTACTGGATGTCGCCCGAGTGTCTCAAAGGCCAATGGTATGATCACAGGTCCGACGTATTCTCCTTCGGCATCGTCGTGTGCGAGCTGATCGGCCGGGTGCCTGCGGATCCGGACGTTCTGCCACGCTCAGATAATTTTGGCCTCGATTACCTAGCCGTGGCGGAGATCTGCGCGACTGCCGATCCGCCGCCTGCTTTCCTCCAACTCGCCTTCAGTTGCTGCACGGTGAGTATGATGATATCTAACTGTAAAGGCATGCAACTTGGATTCGGTGCGAATGGTCATGGAGATTAGTATAGCTGTTACCAGATTGGAGTACGATACGCACGCATGCACTCACGATGCGAAATATTTGATGCGGATATTTATTAAATTTTAATATTTATCAATTTCTTTTATTGATTAAATTTGTTTGATTTATTAATTCGAATTGTATATATTATTTACAGTACGAACCTAAGTCCAGGCCGACCTTTCCGGAAATTACGACTAGTTTGGATACTATAATATCAGCTTGTGAAGAGGAACTGAAAAGTAACATTGGTAAACATCAGCAGTCAATCGTTGATCCAACGCTGATGTCCAGCATGGACGAGATTGCACGGGAAGGACGCACGATGAAGCGGCGTACCGCGAAGTTAAGAAGTCAATCGGCGGACGCAAGAGGTTGCGATAACGCGACGCCATCGGATAAGGCAAGATGCCATTCTGCCAGGCGAGTGGCTGAACTCGCCAGTCGTCGCGATCCGCATTACAGGCCGATGACGGCGAATCCATTTCACGCATTGGGTGGCGTTAAAAAGATTCTCGGCGATTTGTTCTCCAGCTGTTTAGAGTTGCCTTCTTTGGAGGATGTACGACCCAGTATTACCGACAGCACGTGCAGCAAGTTCAAACCGGCGCAAAATGATAGTATTGCCAAGATTCTAGATAGAAAGAAGCCAAATTCCGAACCGAGCAGTCCTACTGCTAGAAAGAAATGGGAGAGAAAGGTAGGTGCTGCACAGATTGAGCATAAATGATTAAATATAGGAAATGAGCTATTCCATCAGTTTCAATTTTAAAATATTATAATAAAATCAGAAGACACGATTTTTAAAGTTCCGATTATTGCATTTGAAAATGTATGCTTTTATTATGTTTATTAACGTATGTACTACACATGCGTTTTAGGTCGCTACTAAGGTGGGTGTCGCAAGTTTGTTCACCCATCCGCTTTTCCGAGACGGTTGGGAACCGCGAAGACGTGGTAGCTGCGAATCAGGCTTCTGGAGTTGCGTTGGCGAAGACCTGAGTCCAGAACCGCCGAATCGACGGCACACGTCGACTCTCAGCAGCTCGGCGGCAAGCAGTTTGTTCCTACTGGATGACCATCGAACCAGTTCGATCTACACGGATTCTTCCGAGGACATTGCTAGTTTGGGCGGCGGCGATTCCTGCTGGGAGGATCGACTGAATGGCATTGGCTCATCGAGCAAAACTATTTCAAAAATTGTCGAATACTTTGAGAGGAAGCAAGCGGGTAGACTCGGTGATCACGGCGATACTGCTGGTCCTAGTCGCCTGACCCTGCTACGGGCCAGTCTAGAAGGGCCTGTGCCCATCAGCAGCATCTCGGCCGCGCAACGGTTAGTCGTGTGCGAAGGTGCCGTGCGCAGTAAACTTGCGTTATTCGACAAAAAGTGATATTACGCCTGAGGCTCTTGGCAATTTCCTATTGTTTCCTTTTGATAAGCAGCGCCCGCGTGAAAAGAACCGTATATAATGAAACGCGATACAGGTCCCGAAGAGATTTCGACAGAAGCTTGTCATCGTATGCCGGTGACAGCGAGAATTCTACAACATTACGCGATAATTAGCGTGTTTCTTACATATAATTGAAGAGTGAAGAATGTATGTTATCTTAGTGATAGTAGCAATTGGTCTTCATGCGCATAAAAGATTTGGGACGGACGAAAAGGGCGATACAATATCGGCGCGTCATTCATAACTTGTAGACAAGATAGCTGATAACACGCATGCAATGCATGCTTACAGACACTTCTCTAAAAACCTAGTAACCTGACTGTGATGTTTTTTGATAATCTACATACATACATACATTATTGAGCTATAACGACTGAAATTTGACGGAGCCATTAACACAGGATCTTTTATACGCAACACGAGTCGCGTTTCATGTAACTTGGCTACAGCGATGCGCCGTTCGAAAAAGATAGAGAGGTAAGGAGAAGAGAACGAAGCAATAGCGAATTTTGTCAAAAAACTGCGTTGTATATTAGCGCCGAACGTAGCGCTAATCCCGCAACGATTGTCCCGTAATTGACATATTTTGCAGTGCCTCGCAGTTCCTAGTAGCCATCTCCGTCCTTATGCACACGAATCATGGGTATTACCGATTATTGCAAAGGTATATACAGATATACAGATCGACGATAAATAAGGGCGAATAACTTTTTTTTATTTAAGCCGAATAGGCGGATTGCCAGGCTAATGATTCTTATCTCGCTACTCTTAATTTTTTGATTGATGTGATTAATTTTGTCGGATTGTGTTTCTTTTTCTTTCTTTCTAATGTATTATTAACTAATCCTATCAATTTTTCATTTTTATTTTTAAGCGTAAGGGTTCGCTGGCCTATTACTGCAGTCATATTTATTAAAATAAATTGAATTTTTTTGTTGTGTATACAACTATTTATTTTTATTAAAATTTATTAAAATTTTGAAATTTTTTTCAACCAAATGAAATAATATATAACTATAGATCTTAATTAATTTAAATTAACTAACTGTCATAAAGTTTGATATGAATACAGATCATATAAATAATTATTTATCAGACAAAAAATATATTTATTTTGTTGAAATTATTCTGTTGATGATGATAGTACAGAAATTTATGCGATATATGGTACAAGAAAAAACTATTTAATTTTTTTCTATTATCATTATCTAGCATTTTTGCTAGTGCGTACTGCAGTGAGAGGTCAAGAGAGAGCCCTTAAGTTCCACGTCTATAGAGGCCTACGTCGCATTTGCGAAATCCTTATTTTGTCTTTGACGTACTGATGTCGACGAAGCGCGAAATTCATCGACGTTACTACGTGCTTTTTCAGCGCAGTTTTGCGAATTGTAGCGTGTTAATAGCTCGGGATACAAAGTGCCGGATACATAACGGTAATGCATATATGCATATATATTTTTTTGTTGGCAGAGGTACACCGTGTCCTGGATATTCTTGTTGACGTGTTGTGCGTATAGCCGAGAGTTTCTTCACTTTGAAAAGAGAATATATGAAACTGATCTAGTCAGTGTATTAATGTGGCGGCCTTATCTTTTATACGTTGTAGAACTAAAACTTATAGTATTTAAAGTTGAAATAGCGAACGCGTGAAATGAGTGCGAGATGAAATCGGGCGCCCTGCTTGCGCCCGGTAGTCTTCTCCCTTTTTGTTTTTAAACGTCAGTATATTTATATACAATGAAAAAGAGAGTGAGACTGAGAACGTGCGAGAATAGGGTGAATGATGGTGCAGCATCGGTATGCAAGCATGTATGTATGTATGTATGTATGTATGTATGTATGTATGTATGTCGGTATGCAAGCATGTATGTATGTATGTATGTATGTATGTATGTATGTATGTATGTATGTATGTATGTATGTATGTATGTATGTATGTATGTGTGTGTGTGCGTTATAGAAAGAAAGTGTACACGTCCAAAAACGATATCTATGTAGGTAGCTACGACTTTCGCATATATAACGTGAATCGTTTTGTCGCTCAGACAGCGAGTCGAACCAAATCTACAATCGTAGAGTGATAGACTAATGTGACGATACCTTTTTACTTGTCGAAGTTCGCTCACGGGTTTACTCCATAAGACTGTGCGTTTGTTATATAATAGGTCGTATTGTAAATAGAGATACTCGAAATCGCGTCAACGATATTCGCAGTCTCTTCTTCCTCGTGTACAATAGGATGCGCGCTGTGTGTCTTCTTTACGTTTCTTTTTTTTGTTTTAATTTTTGCTCGTCGAATCGGGGCCTTCTTTTTCTCCTCGATGCGTCAATCGGTACCTGAATAAGCAAAGCGAGGGAAGGACTGCGAACGAGTTAGTTCTTAAGCATGCGGACATATCAGGAATATGGGCATATCCTGAAGTTTAACCTGATCGATAAAGGGCAATAAATGCGTGGTTTACGGTGTGATGAAGTTTATGGGATACATGTTGCGAATGTGAGTGCGTGATGGAAGAGGGAGGGAGGGGAAGAGAGAGAGAGAGAGAGAAAGAATGAATGCATGAATATGAAAGAGGAGTTAGTGGACCGAGAGGCGCATTTTAAAAAAAGAAAAAATTTGGGTTATTTATTTTAAGTAAAAACGGTTATATTAAAGATTATATATCTATATATATAAATCTACGCAAACATCGTCTCTTCCATACTTTTCAACTGTTATCTAGAATCTACAACTACCGTTGTAGTTTTGTATCTTCTAGTTCTTTATATTATTATACTACGAAGAGGATACGCGTGATATGTTGGGTTTCCTTGTGGCTCTCCGCGTTGGTCATCGAGATATATATACAATGTAAAATTTTATATATATGTATGTATGTGTATATATATATGTATATATATGTATGTATATATACATATATATACATATATATATAGCGCGAGCGCTGTGAACACCTGACTCTCGTGATCACTGATCACTACTCATAGATTGGGCATAAATAAGCGTGGAAAAAAAGAATTAATGGCAGCGATAACGACGATGATAATAATAATTATGATTAATAGTAAAAGGCGAAGCTATATATATGTGTGTTGTGTATATATATATATATATAGCTATGTAAAAAATTCCTATATATATATATATACAAAGGTAATAAAGTTAAGGGCTCCCAATTTTTATGAAAAGAAAGGAAAGTTATTAAAGATTTTTTTTCTAAAGTCACATTAAGTCTTAACAATCCTAATGACCAAAAGAAAAATTTACAATTTTTTTTAGTTCTTCGAAAAAATATCTCAAGTAAGCGCCAAGAAAAGATATCACTCGATGAAGTTTTTGTGACAGCAGCGTATTTGAAATATAGCACTACTGTGTAGCGCCATAAATTTCCTATCAACATCGTGAATTCTGAAAAAAAAAAACCTTTCTCTTGAGATTTGTGGTTTGAAGATAATGCCTTTTAAGTTTTAATAGAATTATTTTTATATAAACTTGTTAAAAAAGAGCATTAGTTTGTTAATAAGATGATAAGCAACTATCATAAGGCACGATATTTCATCAAAAATTACACTTATCTTTATATTTTATATCTAATATCATCATTATACAAGAAATAGCGCGTTTAATTTTGGGGCAAGAGATAAGAAGAGTCTGAACACTGATTTTAAGTCGCATTATTTCTCATCACAGACTATCAGTTGTACTTTTTACAACAAAATTTCATTTCAAAATTTACTTTAAAAAAGATTTATTATAAATCAAACTTTCCGACTTAGAAATAAAGTTATCAAAAAATCACTGTAGTACAAGTTTCAATTTTTTTTACAATTTAAATCAAGAAGTGTAGGGAATTTGCGATTTTATTTATTTCCGGAACACAGTTTTCTTCAAATCCAAATCATAGAAACATATCTGATTAAAATAATCCTAAGTTACTGATCATTTTCTATCGTGATGCCGGTAATCCCACAAGTTTCTGAGTTTTTGACATCGGTTTTACAATATAAATAAAGAGACAACTTTATAGAAATAAATTCTGAATTTCAACGAAGAATTATAAAGTTTATTTTCTAATTTTGATAATGTTCGAATAGGGTGCTTCAGAAGATATAATTTTGCATTTTGCGAATATTTTAATATAAAAAAAAAACTCATTTGTTAAATCATTCTTTCGTATACAAAAATATTAACGATCCCTTTCAAACATCGGATAAGCTCTGCCCATATCCTCTTCTGGGATTAACGGTATATATCTCGTTCTAGGATCATTTTTTCGCTCGTAAGCGTATGGGAACATCATCGTAGGGTGTATTATTGTTCTGGCACTTTTTGTTGTCTTATATCGCGGAATCTTCTGGATATGCGTGGCAATCGTCGTAGAACTTGAAACATCGCTAGTGTCGGTTGATGAGGGCAGGTCGCTGGTAGTCGCTTCCAAGTCAATCAGAGGTATGAATTTCCTCTCATACATGTTCGCGATCGTGGCTTCCTTTGTCGTCTCGTCGAGAACACTATCTTCAACGGATTTCCGCGAATTGTCGATGGTATCGATTTTCAACGTCGGGGTCGTTGCCGTCACCGTTTCCTCACTCGACGTCGCAATTCGCACAGTCGTCGAGATAGCGTCGCTCTTGACCTGGATAGTGATCGGCACCCAGTCGTTGTCAGACTTAATTTCAGTTTCTATATTTGAGTTCGCCTTTTGCACGGTCCAGTCATGACTATGATCAATCGACCAATCTAGCGATCGCGAAACATTTGAGTCTCTTCGCGACGGAAAGTTCTTCAAGGTCGATTTAACAATCGGTTCACCAATTGGCTGCCAATCGCTATCCTTGCTCGCTGCTTTCGTCTCGAGACCGGTAGAATTGGTGCTGGCTGTTTTCTCTGGATGCATAGCCTCGACTATCATTGGCGATTCCTCAGCTCTCGATACAGTATGCTCGTCCTTGTTCTTCTCCGTTTGAACGCTCGAAGTGGACTCTTCATAACGTTTATCGTCAAGATTGAATGACTTCTCGGACTTACGCTGGCCGATTTCTACCCGTAGAATTTGATCGCCATTCCATGGTCGACTAGTCGTCTTACTGGTCTCTGCAGTGTTATCAACACTTCTTGGACGCACTATATCACTCAAAAGAGGAAAATATTTGGGCTCTTCGTGCCGTATACCGGTTACAAAGCTTGGTGTGTACTGCGAGATCAGGGGCAGCAGAGTCTGTCGAGCGTATCGTTCCGCCTGCGCCAGGATACCGGCCAATCGCTCGGGTAGAAACTGCACGGTGAACGCTCTCGTGGATGTCGATGACGTTTCCTGTATCTCGTCGTGTAGTACCACCTCGTTTCGCGTGTTGTGTCTGGTAGCACGTGGATGTAGGATTGGTTCTGTGATTTCAGGCAACTTGAGTGATCGACCGGCATCCTTCTTACTCGGACGCAACACCGGTTCTTTGATTTCCGGCAAGTACTCCGTCGTAGTTGCGACGGTAGTCACAGTGGTTTCAGCAACATGCTCGGACACTGTCGAGGCATGATAGATCAAGTTCGTAGCACCGGAGAAGCTTCGTCCTTGTTCCGACTCGGCGTTTTCCAGCGAGTTCGAGTCGCCGTCACCGGATATGTCCAGGATGATCCACGGGTTCGCGGCGTTGCGCCGTTTCTCTGCCTCTTTGAAGGTCGTCACCGTCTCGATCTCAGAGACGCGTCGATTCTGCTCTTTCGTGAATGGACCGAGATTTCGCCTCAGCGGCGTTCTGTCTGTCGACAGGATCTCCACGGAGTATCCTGGAGAATCCTTCGTCTCGTAGTTTTGCTCCTTCGTGAAGGGTCCTATGCCACCCTGTTTGTCCTCCATCTCTACGTGTTCGAGTATCGGTACTGAGGAAGACACAGTGGAGTTGTCGGTGTCCAAAGGTATGTTACATTCACCGGGGTAAAGGGGTAGATAAACTGATCGACCGGATTCTAGAATTAAGCCCTTCTTACAAACCGACAGAATCTTGCCGAAACTGTCGATTATAGCCACCTTGTCAATGGTCCAGGACACCAAGCCGGACGATATCCAGCCGCTGTACGCCGTGTATTTGATCTATTAACATAACATTAACATAATATAATTTATAATTATTTAACATTATATAATTTTCATAATTCGTTGTATGTAGTAATGTAGAACCAATTGCTGATTTTGGTGTTTTCAATTCTTTATTCTGATTCAATAATGCCTGTGTTTCTACCAATATATATTTCTATCAACTTATATTCATCTCTTTCTAATTCTTACAATTGGAATAGATAAAGATAAAGAGTTAGTTGAATTTTAAAGAGTTTTAAAAAATTAAACTACATTAATAGAAACGGGCATAAGACTGTAAGACTAATAGATTATTTCGATAAGATATTTCACTTACTTCGATCGCTTCGAGATACGTGACTGCAGGATGCGGTACGACAATTTTTTGAAGAATGGCTCCGACCAAAAGTTCTTCGTCCTTGCGAGTCATCGCAAACGTGTCGTTGTAAGAACCTTTACCTACAAGCGTAATCTGAAAGAAATCCGTATGATACTGAGATACCTATACATATATTATATACATATATATATATATATATATATATCACGAAAAAGGTTTTAGAACTTTCACTTTTATTTTTGATCTAACAATAAGACGAAGAAACCATCTAAAAGAATAGATTCGTGAAAGCTGTTTGTAACAAAAATAAAACAGAAATTTCTATATTTTCTATTTACTTGAAAATAGAATTGAACAGGAATAATTTCTAATTTCTAATTGTAAGTATTATATGTTAATGTATGTGAATGTATGACATTTGCACACAAAAAGAACAATTTTACGCTGAAGTATCTTAAAAATTTAACTAATAAATACAGATCAAAAAATAATTTTGATCGATCATCAAAATAATTATACAGAAATCTCAAAGTATGATAAGAAATGTTACAAAAAGTTGTGACATCGCATCCTAGCAACTAATTTGAACGTTGTACATAATTGTTTCAGTCAAACAAAATTATTTTCAGATCTATTGAATTTTTAGATGTTTCAGCAAAACCGTCTTTTTCGTGAAAAAGAAAAATTGAATCTCCATTACTATTTGTTGTACTCGCTGAAAACAAGATGAGTTTTTATCTCGAATGCTCACCTGAAGTTTGCCATAGGTTTTGGTGGATCTCTCGCTGCGGCTGTTGTAAACCTTGATCTGATATTGATGAGCGCAAAAAGGCTCTTCGTCTCTCGTCACTAAGTAAAGCTGGCCCCTGGCAGGTGACTCGTTGCTGTAATAACCCATGTCGCCGCAGGGTCGATCCGTACCGTCCATGCCGCAGGGGAAACAGTCACCCTTCAATAGGCCATCGTACCCTTGTTCACAGGGAAACGCTGGAAATCGGCATTTCGGACTTACGGAGTCAGTGAAGAACTTGTATGCTCGCCGATGGTTGCACAATGATCTGCCCTCGACCGCGCTTGCTATAACGATCACATTGTTATACATATAATAGAGGTTTATCACCTTATATACTTCAACTTCCGAAGCTGTCAGTAGATCTATTAGATGCACTTAATTATATTTTTTATGTTACACAATTGCTGCAAATTTGAATTATTGTTATTAAAATAAACATATTTGTTTTTTGCTTATTTTTACGAGTTATATCAGTTTGGATATTATAACTCGTATATAAAGAATTTCTTAAAATTAATTTAAATTAGTGCCCTTTAGTTAACATAAAGTGCATAAAAAACCAATTTTGTTGAAATAAAATAATTTAGCTAGATACACAGATTTAAAAATAATTTTGTTGGACCATAAAAATAATTATGAAGACACTCAAATCAAGAATGTTGCAAGAATGTCAAAATATTTTACAGCATTGCTTATCGTACTTGAAATTGCTAAATAATTATTTAGATAATTAAATAAAACTCTTTTCAGATCTGTATCTATAGCTAAGTTTTTTTTTAGATAATTCCGTAAAAATATCTCTCTCTTTTGTATAGATCTTATAGACCTACATCATTATAGTATTACAGACGTCTATATGATAGATTCTGATGTTAGTTTTGGATATTTTTATGATATGCCTGAGCTGAACTTACACCAAATAATATCAGAAACGGCACCGACAAAGATATTCGAACATCCACTTTGCATTTTTCCACCATTCGGATAATAGTCCACGTCGCCCATGGGCTGCCATGAGCCGAGTCCACCCAAGATAAGCTGCTCACCGTTGCTATGAATAACATCAACGAAATTTGCATCTGTTGCGTCCAGACGAACTCTCGGATCATGCGACTCGAAAAGTGGCCCTGCAGGATCGAGTCCTATTGGCATACAAAAATAGAATGTGTATTTCATAATCTTCATTTATGAGTTTCTCAATTATAATATTTAAAATAATCATAAAAATATAAAAAATGAAGAACTGTCATTGATCTGGAAAGTTGTACTAACAATAAGTAACGGTCCCTGGCGTCTCTGCAATCATTTTCGCCAAGATTGCTATCATATTTGAAGAGAAATTTTATTTCAGTTTCCAACAGAGGCAATCAGCATTATGGATAAGTATTCGAATGTTAAATTACTAAATGTATAGTAAATACGCTTACTGGAAAAATATCAACCGATTGCTCCTACAGGTGTGGGAGTTATTTAGATAAATAATGCTTTTACTTTACACGTCGTGCGTAACCGACTATTCATTTACCTTTGCGATGATGAACGTATGGAATCGGGATAGAAATTGCGAAAAATGCTTCTCAACTTTACGTGGAATAAGTAAAAAAGCGTGAAAGAGTATATAAATTTACTTCTCAAGTTTAGAAAATAAGTTTCTCCTTGTCGAAACTCGTTCAAAAGTAAGAGAGATCACAATAAAAGATATGTAGTGAATAAAAACACAATTCGCTTTGAAGTTGATGAAATACTTGTGACAGCGAATTGCGTACAAATTACGAAAAAAATTGTTTCTTAACTTTACTTAAAATAGCGTCAAAGAAGCGTGAAACATATCGGTGGAAGGATATCGTTCGCTCTGCACTAGAAAAAAATTTAATGCCTTCCGAAAATCTACTTTTAGTTGGAGCACATTTTTAACATTCAATTTCTTTATTCATCTATTATACATATAAAAAAATTTAGTTACTTCTATAAAATATGTTTTTCTGCTTTGTAAATAACAAAGAAATATGTTTATACACACTTAACAGTTTACTTCACATTAATCTATAATTTTGTTTAGTATATTTTATAACAATTGTTGTCCGGTATATTTTAACCAAATTTTTATAGTTAAAATCAAATTTTAATTTATAAAATAAAACATTTTTATAATAATTTAAAATTTGAGAAATGCTTGTCCCATTTTGTTAAAATCCCAGAGAAAGAAACCTGGAGAAACCCGATTACATGTACTACATGGTACCCATATATAGTAAAAAAAACACGATCGATCGATAATTCACCGTGCTGGTATTCGATCAAAAGGCATCAGCGCGTGTCGAGGTAAGAGGCATAGAATGCATCGAGCATTTAAATGCATCGAAATGATTGTCGAGAGCGGGACCTTGTTACAGTTACTCTCTAATAATCGATTATACGCTGGAGATCGTGCTCGATTGGCCAGATTGCAATTATCGAGATGTTCGTACACAAGAAATTTATACGGAGATTGACAATTCAAGTCAATGCAAATACAGACAAATACAATGGATCTAAGTTAATGTCGTAGAAGAGATGATGAGTATTGCGCAAATGTGCTACATAGATTAAATTGAAAACTATGTCACGTGCAATATAAATGCGCGTTTAAGAAATATATTGTTTTTAATAAAAATATAGTAAAAAATAAAATATAATATAAATGTCGTTCAATCCTATATAGTTGGTACACGCAAATCTAGTGGACTCCAATTTTTTTAATTACTTTGTAAAAAATTGTTCGTATAAATATTATTCAATCTTTCATAATTTTAAGTTACAAAATTTTATTACCTAAATTTTAATATTTAAAATAAAAAAATTGTTTAATTATTTTGTTAACTTTAAACAAAGATGTATTAATTTAAAATATACTGGACCTATAAATATTTATAAAGAAATTTCGGAGCTGATTAGAAGTGTAAAACACATAATTGACCTTGAAGTATATTCAACGTTTTTTTTCTTTTGAGACTTGTAAAAAATATTTTGTTAATTTTTACGATGATATATAGTTAAAAAAGTAATATATTTTTTAATATCTCTCTAAGATATATAGGTGTACTATAATACATACAGAGAAAGGGTGTTTCAAAATCTTACATTTTTGTCTAAAAATTATATTATTCAAAAATTGTGACAATCAACCTCGATCTCCTCTACCTGAAGAATCGATTTGCATACATTACAGTTTCATCGAAAGAGCTGTTATTTAAATATCTGTCGAATTACGTAAAACTTATTTTACGTAAAACTCGGTTTTACGATTTGATACGATAAGATCGCAGAGATCATGTGTAGAATGTTTGACTTACCGGTAATTCTGGAGACATTTTCGAGCTCAGCACCGGCGAATCCGGCTACGTGAGCTCCCAGACTGAATCCTATTAAGTGCACTTTTTCCAGCGGCACGTTTAAACTACGAATTAATTTTGCCAATTGTCGGCCAACTAATCGTGTGTTGGCCGCTGCCCTTACGTAATTAGGTACAGCGCTGCCAGGTCCCCAATCCACGCAAACTAGAAGTGTGTAATTATGTAGTTAACATCTAACGAAAAAAAAAACACTTAAACATATCTGATTGTAAGATCGTAATTGTTCGATTATTATTGTATATTTATATAATTAAAAAGTGAATATCATTGAATTTATTATATCATAATTAGATCTCATAATTAGTGCGTAAACAGTACAATTAGACATTTTACATAAAAATTATACAAGCCTCTCTATTTGTAATGTTACTATTAAAGAAAATTAATTTTTATTAACAAATAATCATGATATTTAATAATAGAATTAATAAACTAAAGATATACATTTTCTTCATTTTACAAAAAATATAGAGACAACGTTTACCGTTAAACTTTCTGTAAATTCTTGTACGGATTGTGTGTGAAAGATGTAGGCCAGGTTTTTATTTTTTAAAATCGGTTGGACACGAGCCATTAACAAAGTTACGTAAATTTTGTTACATAAGTACCTATATTGCAATCGTGGATGCTCATTAACGCGGATCGCATATCGTAAACCCATAAATGGTTACAATCGCTTCCAAATCCATGTACAATTACTTTGGTTGGAAGATTAGGATCTATGGCACGGCGGACATTATCATTTATGTTATCGGCGGGCACTTCCATGGGGATCGATCTTGCCTTTCTACTTCCATATACGAGGAACCTATATAACGAAAGAAAATGTCGATTATACAATTTTCTAAAATAAAAATATTTTATATCTCAATTATATGATTTCACGTACACATCACGTAATACAATATCAGATATTTTCCGTAACAGAGTTTACGCCATCCTAGTCGACTACCAATTAAAAATAACATAATATCTATGTTGTAATTTTGCGCTAAACAAAATGTAGTACAATCTTGATCGAAAGTATTAAACACTTTATTAACTATTATTTAATGTTTTAATTAAATTTTGATTTACGATATTTGTTGTAAATTATCTTTTGTTCAAATAATTTTAAACTTAGGCTTATGTATTATATAATGCCGGTAATTAATAAGTGACGCAAATAAAAAAATCTAGGTAAATAAAAAAAGTACAGTATATATATTTTTGGTTAAAACTGTACAACATATGGTGTTACATAACAGTTACGTTGTTGAGTACAAAATTATACCATTAATGTTACTTTTAGTTGGTGTCAATTAACATTTCTTGTAGATATTATCAAAAATTGCCTTCTGCTTTTTACCTAGTTCCGACGTCCTTTGGCGGTGACGGTAGCATCTCTAGATAACTGAAGGGTCCAGTATCTTCGAAGCACCCGATGTCCTCATAGCAAACTTTGGATACCTCTCTTTTTCCTCTGTGATTAACTTTTTTGTGAAGCATCCATTGTCTCATTGACTCGACGACAGCGCGAAAAATTTCCGCGTCGTTCTTTTCGTCCAAACTTTCGTCGGAGGACGAGAACACCTGTCCCGCAACGGGTTCTGCTGAAATATTGTTACATAATGAAAAGATATATATAAATACATTTTGTTTTGCGTTATTTTTTGTTAATAAATTTAGTTACCAGACAGAATTAATTAACTTTATGTAAAATTAATTAATTAAGGAACCGTTTGTTATTAGAAACTGGATCTCGATAAATTAAGCGTTATCAATCATTTTATCAATCATATTTTGAAAGGGTATGTTTAGTTTCTAATTTTCATAAATTCAAGTCAAGTTTATTCAATGGTTAAAGAGCGTTTCAGTACGTTATTTGTGCGAATACTTGTAACGGCTTTCCCGGTTCACGGCTCGCGGCCGCTATCGTTATTAGCATAACGCCTGAATAACAATTTCCTGGAACGCTATGGCAATATTTTACACTTGATAAAATCATAGGTATTCCCTCCTTTAAGCTTCATTGCTTATTATTATACCAATTCTTATTATTACTAGTCCCGTAATTCAATTACAATCTGTAACAGGTGCATTTGTAGTGGATAAAATGTATGTATATTAATCAAATGATCAGATAAAGACATTGACAAGTGCCTGTAGTTTGCAATTCTATGTTAAAATCGAGATCCTAAGCTATTTTTTTTCTTAACAAACAAGCTTCAGACAAAGAAGTGTATTTATTTCTTTTCTCCAGAAAAGAAATTGCAAAATAGTTGTAATCAGGTAAATCGTAAAGATATTTTAGCATAATAAAGTATGTAGCACATACTTACATATAGTGTGTTAGATAGTTTGATAAAAATATACATATAATAAAAATTTATTACCGTTTCTTACGTGTCCTTATTCTTATCATTTTATTTTCGAAAGATAAAAATCCTTTACTATTTATTATTTTAATTTTCATATGTTTATTTGAACAGTATCATTAATAGTTCGTAACAGATTTCTTGTTAGATTCGAAGTCATTTTTACTGAAGGAAACGTTTTGAGTGATAATTATTGAGTTTTTTAATATTGAGTTTTAGTTGAAGAAGCTCATTTATTTATTTTTGTTTTCAGAAAAGAAGATCGCAAATAGTTGATAAAAACAACGAATATAAATGACAAAAATATTTTTATTTATAGTAATAAAGTAAGAGTCATATATTTCACAGTAGTGTTAAATAGCGATTGCTAAAGGCAAACATATTATAATACCTTATTTAAATTATTGTAAACTCTTACTTCGAGAACGTTACAGCGATGTCAAAAGCCCGTAACAAGTACCAAGAACTTTATATGCATATTCACATTTATAATATATAACGTATAATTTAAACAAAATAATCGCTAAAGAATTGTAGCTAGTAGAACATGCAACCGCGGTCGTGCGTGTCAGTAAACGTGGCATTAAAGTCGCTGCGAACTTATTTAATTTAAATCGCGGTGATTTCCATGTTTTCCCTTTTGCGAGCACAGCTTGATGCCACTGAAAATGTTAACAGTAGACGGTTAATTGTCCAACAGCGAAAACGTATGACTGTAATTAAGGCTACTCTGTTCACTTACAACTACTTTCTCAGATTGTGATGTCAGAAATAAGAAAACACACCAAAATTCTTACAAATTATATTTGAATTGATATATGGTATTTTTAATATAAAATAATATTTATAATCGATAGAATAAATTTGTGTATATTATTTATAAAAATGGAAATTATCTTCTTTTATTTCGGCGACAAAAGTGAACATATATTCATTCCTATACATTATTAATTTAATCAATTGATTTTCACTTAATATTTCTTTTTTGGTATATGTATAATTTATTTCCAGATATATGATTATTTATTAATTAATCAACAAAAAAGTTTTTTGGTATATTTACAAATCGATTTTATCAATTGTAAGTGCTGCTTAATTAAATCGTATTTTCATATTAGAATACATTTTGCAAAAAATTTTATCGTGTATTTTCTCGCTTCTGACGTCACAATTCAAGATAGTAACAGGTGAACGAATAAAAGTCTGACCTTGTAAGAGAATTGGAGAATTGCTGTTAAAGTCTTTATAAATATACGTTAAATTTATTAATATTCAATGACATAAATCACCAAGAATGTATTTGATATTTATTATTCTTATTACGAAGAAAAATAAGTGGATTTTAATTAAACGTGACACAAAAAGAGATCACATTTGATGAAAACTAAAAAGAAAATCGTACGTTTTTTTTATTGAATCCAGAATACATCTCATAATGTTCTAGGGAAAGTAAAATATATAGAATTAGAAAACACATATTGCAATAATTGTTCTGTGTTTCATCAAATGCTATTTATGTAATACACTGTTAAAGAATGATGAAAAACGATACCACGGCAAAATTCATCGAAAGATCTTAATCTACGTATATAATGCTAGAAAGATGTTAAAAATACATATATGGGTCATGGATTTACGTTGGAAAATTAAGACACTTTATGTTTATTAATAAGTGAATTCTATTGTATTCTTCATGAAGATATGGCTCAGATAGCGCCATATCACATGCACTTTCTGCGCGCGAAGAGAATGTAGAAGAATACCACACTAAATTTTATGATTCCCGTCCTTCTTTTGAAGAATACTATAATCATTCAAGATGACTCGGAGAATTCCCAACGCATCTATGACATTACAGATACCTACGCAATTTTAGGATAATTTTACAGTTAGAGACGGTCAGCGATGAAAATGATTATTCGCGTCGTTCTAAATTGTTTTTTATCCGTCAGACACCTACGATACGAAACTGCAACGTTCATCCCATTTGATTGAAATGTCTTTTTAATAATGCCATAAGCAATTTACGATTTTTCCCAATATATTTCCAAACATAAAACAAACAGGAAATGAACTGTCGTGTACAATAGATTGCCACGAACTAACTGGAAAATAGTGACACTTTAACCCTCTTAGCGTATATAGTCTCGAATGATGTATTTGCAATGACTACGCGTGAATTTTATGTCACGTCACGTGCATACAAAGCGTCCCACTTCTGCCACATTATTTTTTAATGACAGACCTCGGTGGCCAACTTGGAGTTGATTTTTCTTCGGCAAAGCTGTCAAGGCACGCATAGTTTTCCATTAGTGGCTAAATAAGGTAAAAGAGTTTCAATGGTAAACTAAGCCGTATTCTTCAGTTAATATGAAGAAGAAATATTGAACTATTATAAAATTCTAATTTAATACTGGCGGTTAAGGAAGCATTCCGGAGGATGCTTTCTGGACGAGAACCGCAGACTCGGTCATTCTCTCTATATAGTCGCTCTTTACCGAGGACAGGGTTAATGCCCGTCTCTTTGCGGGCCAAGTAGTCGGTGATTGGGTCGACGAACATATCCTGACCTTACAACCCAGTTCTGACCGGTGCGTCGGAGTAGAAGGTAAAAGAAGCGGCCCAAAGTGTCGTCTCCATATCGAAGTGAATGGGAACTAGGCGTCTGATACGAGCTGCTTAATGAAGCTATGGGAATGAGTTGGCAGATTAATTTACATATATTCTCATGACTCGTGAAAATAAAGCGACACTGATCTGCCAACTGATACTCGTTTTGCGAAAAACGAGACGGAGAGGCATGAGAATCCATGCCAGAGTAGATCGGCGGACTGATCTACCCGATTACGACGGGAGAAACCGACAAAAGGAAAATCGGAAAGGCCTCTGGGAGATCTCGGTCGGAGAAGTACCAGCCATCGTACGACGGTCACTTAGGCGAGCGTGCCGCTCGACTTTTTGCTCGCTAAAGTTGCTCCACAAAATGAACAAGTGAGGGAGAGCGGTGAAAAAGGGAAATCACGGATACCGAAGGCGGAGAGAAGAACTAGAGACTGTCTGTAATAGCATTTCAATGATCTACGTGACATTCATTATCGTTTTCTGATAAAATATTATTATATTTCTTCGCAAAAAACAACTTGAAAAAGTGGTTAAAAACAACTCTATAATAGAAGCAAGAAAGTTCTCACTCTTCTTTAGTAAAATATATGATTTTAATATTATTTATAGTAATTTGCGAGAGCTTTGTTGCTTCTAATTTTTCTAACCACTCGAACACGTTTTATCTAATTTACTTTCGTAATCAACGTTCTAAATAATCATAACTGTTTCATTTCCAATAAGAAATGAAAAATTCGCGGTTATAAAAATCTAAATTCAAGTAAAAAAAACTTTGTCGAGAAGAATAGAACTTTTCAGATATCGCTAAATTTTAATCTCATCAAAATCTAATAGATCGGCGATTTATAATATATTCGTTTCCAGTAATGTAGATTAATTTTAACCTCTTTTAACTTATCTTTATGGAAAAAGTTTCGTTAAATCTTTACTAACTCAGTCAATCTACGACCTGTTTTCTATGTTAAAGTAGCAAAGTTGTACAGTTGAATAAAATTAGCAATTATAGGTAATCATATTTATTTTAACAACAACACATTTGTTAATATAGCAAAGATAACTTTCTATGAAAATTAATCTAATATATAGATCAAAATTTTTAACATGCTAGCTAATATGACGCGTAATTTTGCAGCTGTAATGAAAAAAACTTGTTATATTAGTATAGTTTTCATTACCATGTTATATTTTATTTTTCAGTCTCTGTGAAGTTGGCACCTCATTTTAAAAAAAATGAAATTTTCGATAGAGTTCTGAATACACCCCGAAGAGTTCTGAAGTTCCTGCCTAAAATAAAAAATAGTTCTGGCAAATTAACACTAAAAATCGAAAATTTAAAATTTGGGATGCTAACTTCACAAAACGCACAACGAAAAATTGCGATATCTTCTAAACCATTAGTCATAGCGCTTTAAATGCTAATAACTTTTAGTAGAACTCTTGGGGTGCATTCAGAACTCTGTCGAAAATTTCATTTTTTTAAAAATAAGGTGCCAACTTCACAGAGGTTATTTTTCATTTCAGCGAAGAATTAGCTGAATTAACATACTAATAATATTGCTACAGCCAATTTCATTATTAAACCATCAAGTCTTCTTAATTATAGATATTGAACTTGCTTAGCAAGCTTTACTATCCAACCTATATTTTCCCGTATTCCTCTCTTTTATTTCTTCTTTTTATAATTCTTTAAACTAGAAAAAGATGAAGAGTAAGTTAAAGCTACGTCGAAATTAAATACATTGGTAGAAACAGGCATTAGTAAAGGATATTATTAAATTTATCTGATAAATACACATAGCGGTATTGTGCATGATATATAATATCTCACGATAATTATCTCACGGTAATTATATGAACTATGAGGACCGTGCAATAATATGTATCTTCTTGAGCTTTCTTTTGTCATTAATAATAAATTTTTTTTGTCGATTTGTATTGAATTGAAGAAGTATAGTATTTACAAATTATTAGCATTAACGTTGATCGCGTTTATCATATAATTGTATATTTTTTGAGAATTTTCTGATGGTAAAATATTAATTAAAGCTTATTTTATTCGCGTTAATCTAATCCGAGTGAAACATACATTGCCTGTTTTCGAACAATGGCATTGTTGCCATGGTCTGCCACGGTCGAAGTTTTGACATTTGAGTGCGGCGTGTGAAATCTTTTATCAGAGATACGGCTTCATAGAAAGGTATCGTGTGCGCAAGGCGCCCCACATTCACCGCCTTTCCTTTTAATGGGACTGACCCGAGACTAAACTAATTACAAGAAGAGATTCCTTGCGCGAAGATGTTAGGAATCTTTTTTTTCCAAGTTACAGTTATCACGTTACAAAAGTGTAGCGAAATCTTACCGCAGGGGAACTTTATACTATAACGGAAGCTTACGCGATTCACGGTAGCATCTGGAGAATGATTATTTCTTTGTAACAGATCGACAACTCGTAACATGACGATCATTCATATTCCTAATTAGGAGAAGCGGATTAAGTGAACGATGACCGAGTATGATCGCAAACGAGGAGGAGCAGAGTTAACGGTACGCCACGGTGGGGCCCGAGACCGCGGCTCTTTGCAACGGGACCTGTTGAGTGTTCGTTTCATACTTTTACAGACATCATTTTTACGGGCGTGACGATACCGAAAAAATTCAGCGTCGAGCTTGCACGTCTAAAGTTAGTACACATTTAGCGAACGAACAGCGAATGCCAATGTTCAGACATCTTGTAAATACAAATACTATTATTTGTATTTACAAGATGTTTGTTTCCTTTCTTGACTGTATCAAACATCAGTATTTGATTATATCAGTGTTCGCTGCATATAGCGAACGAATTTGTGCCACATTTACACTTCAATAATTCAAATGTATACTAAACACTACCACTTAAAAGCATTTGCTCACTCCGGTTTTCCTTAATTAAACGAAAAAGAGTGAACATATATTTTTCCTAATTTTTTAGATATTAGACTTAATAATAATATTTCCAAATTTTACATTCTGTATATATATATATATATACGTATAAACAGAATACAGTAAAATTAGAATAAAATTTAAACGTATATAAAAAAGATACATACAAAAATCGCGGCAAGATGGACAAATATTTTTAATGTATGTGTGTGATTTAGTTTTTCGTATAAAAATAATTAATTATTACACTTGAGAATTTATAGTCTACGTAATAAATGACAACAACAAATTTTCGTGTTCGTAAGTATAATATATCCGGTTGAAGACTCACAATCGCCATAGACAGCAGGCCCTCATAGCAATCCCCTCGCATGAATCAGAGGTAGCATACGAGCGAGTGTCATTAAGAGCACGGACACGCGATCCATTGATCGTTTCGTCACTCCGTTGATCGACGTCCTTGGAAAGCGAAACGCGTCACATGATTCGGCTCTCGAAATGCCGGTCGCATTTTCGTTTAATTCGTTATGACACAATCCTACGAAGAATCTCCAGAAGGTTAGAGCAGAGCATTCACCGATTTTTTACAACACCAATATATCAAGCAATTAAATGAAAGAACCAGCATTAATTATATGAAAAAATGAGTTTCAATAAAATAAATTTTCACATACAATGTAACGGTGAATCAATGATGTCACAGGTTGATATTCATAGTTGATTCTTATATTTAAGATTTTAAGTACAGTTTTAAAATTTAAGCTGTATTAGTATCTTACAAGGATTTGAAATAAAAACGGACTACGAATACCGCCCATACAAACGTAAAGCTCAATATAATGGATAGCTTTTCAGCTAAAATGATATTCCAGCGAAACTAATATCATTTGTCGTCATTTTGACATATTAAAGTAACATTAAAGACATACGTCATTTTGTCTTTCAAATATTAAAATAATGATAAACACTCCCTGTTTCTGTGACATCTTTTGTACATCACATTATAAACTACATTACATGTGAAAACTGACTCATTTCACTGGGACTCAGTTTTCCATATAATTAGTACGGAATCTTTTAATTCCGACTAAATCATGTACTGCGATCTATGTTAAAAATGCGCTTTTGTCGTACATTTTTCTCCTATTATTAGTCAGTTGAGTACTTATCCACGTTCGTTAATTACGTGAAAGACTGCAGGTGTCTCGACATTTCCGTCGAGAAAAGATTGACTCGGAATTAGATGAAGAATACATCATTAGGAGATAACGCGGGTGACTGAAGTAGGACACCCTACATAGGTAGATAATGACTGTCTCAAAATCGAGAAAATTAAAATGAGAAATTGTCATTGGTCAAATAACGGGCGGAATAATGATGCGACTCAAGAGTACTATAAGCAGTTCACGAATAATTATCGCGGAAATAATTATTGAGGTGAGTTCGCCTTCTGATTTAGGCCACAATCGTGATTTCGTGCGCGATCTCGTTCTCAGAAATCAGTGGTATAATTTCCGAGTCGGTTGTCATCGAAGACGCCGATTTTCCGCGATCTCTGAAGACAATGATAGTCGGCCTGTTTGTGGCTCGCGGAGTATCCCACGGTAAGAATCTGAGAGCGGGAGGATGTTGACGGTAGGAGAAGGGTCGAGACTCGTAGCGATTTTCAAATTGGCTGATGACACAGTTTCCAGTGACTTGAGGTGAGTGAACTCGGAGGTGATCGGGCCGACACCTTCGCGCTGCACCGATACTG